AATAATGCGAGTGGGCCACTCTCTCGTCTTTAACCTCATCACTTCACCTTCCTGTTCTTTCCCATTTCCTCCGTCACCACACGGACCGCTGATTGATCATCATTCTACCATTAGAGTAAGGGAAGGAACGTGGCACAGCACATATCTTTATAATCTATATGGATTAAGAAAGGCCCCTGGAAGCCTTGCTTGGATTGCTATTTTCCATAGAAAAATTTCGTCATTTTCCGTGAACACATTTCCCTATTACCTTTTTTCCTCACATACATCAAATAGCTACAGTAATTTTTCCATGAAAAATGACGGAAAATGCAATCCAAACGGGATAGGTTAACTTCTTCATCTTATGATGGATGATGAGTTGAGTTCTTCCTTTTCAGTTAATCTTTTTGAAGCCAAGAGTTTGAGAAGTCCACACAACTTCTTTTTTTTTTTTCCTTCTTCTTTTCCCTTGTTTACTCATTTTGAGAAGTCCACACTTTATGATCACATGGTCATCTGGTATGGTTCTCTTGTCTGTTTTGGCTAAATGGGGAAACTGATAAAAAAAAAAAAAAAACTCTTCAGTTCGATGCGGCTGGGACATGTGTGTGTGTTCCTAAGCGCTGTATATGTTTGAGAAAGAAACAGAGAGCATTCATTGAAAGAGAGCAAGAAATATCAGAAATTAATACACTTGACAGAGAAACGATACCTAAACTTGAAAAATTAACTTAAACTCGAGAGTCGAAGAGTGCCTAAGAGAGGCAATACATACATGTGCTTGTTTCTGTTTTTGCTCACAAACTCATCCTCAACTTTTCTTTGCTTACAAGTTTCTTCCTATCCCATGTTGTATGCTGAGGTATGAACCTCCCGTGGTTAAGCATTTTTCCAGGAAAACGAAATAGAGAGTAGAAAACCTAGGTCTTTAACATATATACGTGTATGTGATTCTAGAGTGAGTGGTCGATTAATTAGTAGCACTAGAATTTATTTTTTTTTTAAAACATAGATGATTTCTTTTGATATCAAAAACTGTTAAGTTACGAGTAACGATTCAATACAATTAGTGTACTTGGACACTGAGGAACCAAAAGTTCCTCATAGTGTAATTATACCAAGTGCATAAGAGCTAATCCTATTACATATAGAATTGCTTTCCTTACTAATTAAATAAAATGACAAGAAGGTTAATTGATGCATGTCCTCCAACAATAATCTCATATCCTGAGCTTTCCGAGACAACAAGATGCGTTTGAGAATCACTCTCAACTCAACTCTCTCAAGCAGTACCCTACCACCCCCTGTTGCCTGTTGTGGGGGGGTTTGGTTTTTGGTCACCGTCCATTGAACCAAATCAAATTATAAAATGAAAGGACGATACAAATCAAATCACATCACAAATGTGTTGGCATTTTGGCATGGAAGATTAATTGAACCTTCATGGTAGGATCCACTTCACTATTGTGGTCTAAGGTGAACAACTGACCTACTTTTAGAGGTTATAATAAGTATGTAATAGTTACTAGTAATTAATACTACTGTTTTAATAGGCTACTGTCACACACACATATATATGTGTGTATGCGACCCTGCAGATCCACTCCCCCTGGCCTTTCTTCCCATGAATTAGTGAATTAGACACTAGTGTATTTCTTTCTACAAAATAAAATCAATCTTCATAAATTTCATTGTAAAGGCGAAATACTTATACAAATAAAAAAAAAAATACGAGAGAGTCCTGATTATCCTGTAGCTGGATCCTATGGAACCACAAGAATTTTCATTTCATCTGGGAAGAGCCATCTTTTGCTTCTGTGGTGGTAAAGAAAACTAGTAGCTTTTCTATATTAGTGGGCTGCTATTTCAGTTAAATTTTTTTTTTCAATTCGCAAGTGCTTTGACTACTGTGTCTTATAATGCTGTACTTTTAGGGGGAGGGTTTGTTTGAAGGTGTGGGGGTTGGGGGGGGGAGAGGAAAGAGAAAAGATATTGAAAAGTGCCGGTGAATTTGTGAAAAAAATTCAGACGACCATTAGTTTGAAGGCCTAATAATACCCGTATAATGTTTTACGTCGGAGGCAAGATTTTGTGGGAGATCAGAAGACAGAGGAGGTTCCCCTCCACTCCGCAAGCAAGGATCCAGGTTTTTGCTCAATTTTGGACCATTTGTATTCTGGCATATACCCGTACAAAGGAAGACTTAAAACTGTGGTCGGAAGAACTTCCTAAAATTCATACAAGTGCTGAGCCCGTTAGCAGTTTGGCGGTCCGTTTGAATTGGGCTAATCGGCAGATGGTTGCCAAAGAGAAACCGGAGAGGACGACCTATCGGTTCGTCTGGAAGCCATTTGAAGTGGCTTGACACATTTTGTGACCAATAATAGAGGCAGGATTTGACCCCTAACCTCCTATCCCATCAATTTTGGTGGTGGCTGGGGCTGCGTTCTTTAGCTTTCTCTCATTTTCAGTTTTCCAGTCATGACTCATCATGGAAGGTAGTTTTAATTTTTTTTTTAAATTCATACTTTAAGGGATAAAGATATTTTTAATATTTTGTGTTTCTGCGAGGGCCTTATTGGAAGATACTCTACTCCGTGAATTTTCTAGCATTTGTTTGTCCCCACAATTCAGTTCCTTTAAACGACAAGCCCGTGGAAAAAAAATTATTACTGATCAAGGAAAAAGTCATTTGGCCACTAGCCAGTGAATATCCTGGTTAACAAATAGTACTAGAATATATTATACCCCTTTTTTTTTTGTTGTTTTATAAAAATTGTTAGGGAGGACTTTTGTCCATAGTTAATGACAATCTATAAAAGACAATACCTAGCAAAGCAAAAAAGGAAAGATAAAATACAACTAGAAAGAAGTAGTAGGTCCATGTGGTTTTGTCCTTTTTTTTTTTGGAACTATATATTGAACAAACTTAAGTTATAGGTACAAAACGAGGGAATCAAATTCCCTTAAGATCTGCATCTACTAGATTTCTTAAAGCATAAAGAATATTATCATAGCATACAAAATTCACGTCTTGTTGAGCACCCAGTTTCGCCAATCTGTCAACACATTGATTTGCTTCTCGATAAGTATGTCTAAGTGTGACTTTCCGTAGAGTAGAGATCAGGAACCTGCGATCAAAGATAATTGCAGCATACTCATGAGTTGAGGTATCTGCAGATTTAAGCAAGTGTAGAGCAGTTTTAACATCAACTTCTAGCAGCGAAAGAGCATCCATCATCCACAGCAAGAAAGAGCAAAATTCCAGGATGAAAAAAATAGTACGTACGTGCAGCATTCTCTGGACAATAATATATATATATATATATATATGTATGTATATCTAGAGAGAGAGAGTAAAAATTGTGTTGTTAGCAGCGATTATTGAAAATATCTTCAGCAATCAATAATTTTTCTCAAAAATCCTGCAGATTTTGCACGACTTAAAATGCAAAAAAAAAAAAAAAAAAAATGGTGGGGGAAAGTGCAGGAAAAAATTTCTAAATACTTGGAGGTGGGCAAAAAGTATAATAAAGTTAAAATACAGAGGGCCATTTATATATTTTCCCCGTTTAGATCCAAAGTCTTCAACTGACAACTGACAGAGTGACGACACATCACGGGGGGGACGCACATCAGACGTTGAACTTTGGTTGGGGTCAAAGCCCTAGCGGTCAAACCTAAAACCTCATCCTCTCCTCGTCAATGATCAATCACATCATGAACTCCATCTCCCCAGCTCCCGCCGATGCCGATGCCGATGCCGACGCCGACGCCCCCACCTACACCACCATCCCGATCTCAGGAGCCGACGTCATTACCAGATCAATACAAAACCTCACTGCCTCCTTCTCCCGCTGCCGCCCATGGCCGGATTTCCTAGCCACCAGCGCCATTGACCTCCCTTCCTCCCTCTCCGCCGCCTCCCTCCGCCTCAGAAAGAACGTGAGATACTTCTCCACCAACTACGCTGTCGTCGCCTCCACGTGCGCCGCCGTGTCTCTCATCGGCTCACCCGTCGCTCTAACCGTCGTTGGCTTCGGTTTTGCCCTTTGGTTGGTACTCTTCTTCTTCCGAGAAGACCCGATGGTTATAATGGGCCGCCACATCAGCGATCGGGCGGTGATTGTGGCCCTGGTTTTGTGCTCGGCGGCCATAATCTGGTTCACGGGAGCGTTAACAAGTTTGTTAATGGGCGTTTCGGTGGGGGTTGTGGTGGTGGCAATTCACGGGCTATTAAGAAACACGGAAGGGCTTTTCCTCGACGAAAACGACGGCGTGACAGACGGCTTGGTCTCGACTTCTCATAATCCTAATGGTGGACTTTCTTAAGTTTCCTACACATTTACCCCTTTGACTAACTCGAGGCACACCAAAATTTTATATTTTCTTTTGCCCTGCCGCTGCGTTGACTTCTTGACCTTCCCTTCTTTTTTTTTTTTTCCCCTTCTTTTTGACTTGTTTTCTTGTGGATGCTGATGTAAACAACTGAAGAATTTAACTTGCGACGGCAAGTCTGCAAGAGGCTTTGGGTCATCGTTTGTTTTTCTTAACACCTTGCGGTGTTTGGAGGATTTTATTGTAAGGGAGGAAGTGGGTTTGATTTTATTGCAAGATTTTCTGAACGTTTGGTTTTTGATGATTGTTATCTTCAGGGTTGACGCTAAAAAGATTTGTTTGGATTTTACGAGTATAGGAGCTGTCATTTGCTTTAAACTCAAATTACACTACTGTCTCTGACGATTAATTGACTAGATATTTGCTCAAGTAAAGGCCAATCAAATCAGATATCTTCCGGTAAAAGCTCGAAACTGCAAAACAGGAAAATCAGGACATGCAAATTGACCGGTGCTCCTGTTTAAGCTGCAACAAGTACTGTCTGTATATAGATAGGAGCGTAGAGCTAAGCTGCTGAATTTTATGTCCACTACCAAGTAATATTGACTACTGAGTCCATCCATCGCACAAAATTGAGCCACTCAAAGTATCGAGGAGTGCTTATTTTTTACACACAAAATTCACGTCTTGCTTCTCATCCTAACTAACTTTGCCAGTGTCTTCTGAGCAGCCAAAGTATGAGCATGGCTGTGCCCCAACATTACTGTCCTAATACTGATACAAGTTCTGCAAAGCTCTTCCCCACTATCAAAATGGCCTCCTCTAAGCAGCAATTTTGCTCTGGTCTCCAGCAGTGTAGCCTTCAACAATGTCACTTCTTTCCATACGTATTCATCCACTCTTTGATTGGGTTGTAGCCTCTTTTTCCAACAAAGAGAACCGTGGCACCAGTCCTGTATTTGAGAAACAAATGTTTTCTCCACCTCTTCAAGAACATTAGTACAGACCTTGAGCAGCTCTAATGCTGAGTTGCATCTTGAAAATATAGTGAAGGCTCTCAGTGCCAGAGGGAGAGCTGTCCTTCGAATGAAAAGAACCATGTCCATTGCCTTGAGCTGGACGACTGGGGGTTCAGATTTGAATCCAAACACGATGAATGCAGAAGCCCATAAATGCTCTAAATTCAGAAGTGTGTCCCCAAATTTCCTCACACCTTGAACGGTTGCCTTGGCTGCAACCAGTCCGTCTTTAATCCTCCTTGCATATATCTGAGTAATGGGGTGAAATTGTATCCAGTATCCAGGCTGCCTCTTTGCTTTCCGTGCCAAACCCATTTTAACTAAGAGATAGGCTGATTCCTCTTCGCCAGTCCATCCCTGGTTAGCTAAACAACAGCCCGAGCAACACCCGAAAGTGAGTTTCATGCTAGTCGACCACTTCTTCAACCTATTTTTGGAGGCAGGCATGTGCTTTGCTGCAACGGCCAATAAATTTGCTGAAATGGGTGCTGTAGCAAACCAAGCTCCAACCTGAAGCATTCTAGAGGCAAGAAGGTTTGTGCTATCGGTAGGTTGCTGCAAGACAGCAGCACAAAATCCCAGGACTTTCATCAGGAAAGGATTGGTTCTACAGAATTGCTGATCTGCAATGCTCAAGTTTGAATACGTTGCTTCTTCAACTTGGACCTGATTTACAGCTTCAAATAGGGTAGCAGGAGAAATTGCAAGTTCAGAAAGCAGTGAACCAACTAGCCAAAGTCCGAAACTTGACCTCCGCAACTTCTCATCAAACTTCCCAAGAATCTCTACCTCTGCAGCCGGATATTCCTTCTTTTGTCTTCCTCCAATCAATAGCATTGCATCAGAAAGTGGCAACGGCTGAATCTGCATTTGATCAAAGTTCATTACTCTTGACAGCCTAGTTGTGATAATCACATGGGTGCCTCCGGTATTAGCCGGGATCAGATCATGCAGATCTTTGCCTTCCCACCATTCCTTCTCAGTCTCCAAATTATCAATGATGAGTAGATAGGGCATGTCCCTGAAAAGATCTCTTTTTACTCTCTTGAATGCTTCTGTTTCCTGCTCATCAAAGCTTCGGATTCTTCCTCTTTCCTTCTCTGGATCTGCACTTACATCCAAGCCCAAATTGAGTGAAATGTTCAATATATTCTGCCTGAAATATCGAGCTTCGCCACCAATCCAGAAAACCATTTTGTATTTCTGGGAATACCTGTAAGCAAATTCCAGAGCAAGTTCTGTCTTTCCAACCCCTGGTGATCCATTAATGCATACAATACTGCTGCCACAACTATTATACTTTCCGCTCCTTGACTTTTTATATTTGGGCCTTTTTAATGAATTCCTTGCAACAGCTGGTTCCACCCAACTCTCTAAATTGGGCTCCTTGAAGTTCCCAACCTCCAAATCTATGTACTTCCCTCCTCTGCTTGTGTCGAACTCGCTTTCATCATCTGCAAGATCATCAGATTTTCCTGTTGTTCCTCCTTTGAGAGTTGTCACCATACCCTCTTGCTCAGAACTGTCCCCACAACCAAAAAATGCAGTCTCAATTTCCAAGATTTCCTTCTCCCTTCCAACAAAACATCGATTTCTTGGGAATGGAAACTCATCAAAACCTTCAATTTCCTTCTCAATCACGCTCTTCCTTCCAAGCCTTGTCCTCAAAATTCCAGCAGCTTTTGATACACAGTTCCTCCAATTACCTTCGTTGGCTTCAACTCTCAATTCATGGGCCTTCATTAATCCATCCAGACCCTGTTTGCATTCCTTATTATCCGCATGGCGGTTAAAGATGCTGATTATCTCATTAATGTCTATATCAAATAACAGAGGAATCAAGTTCTTTTTTTGTGAAAAGAACCTTATTTCCTCCAGACTTAGATGATTAAGAAGACTTTGCCTAGTGAGGACCACAACGCCAAAAGTCACCGAGCAGATAACTCGGTCAGCAATCTCATGGCTCTGATTTTCTGCATAACTTGCTCTGTCCGCCACAAAGCATGCAATGCCTTGAAGCTCCAGCTCTGACTTAAGCCACTTACAGAATCTAACCAAGTTTGGATTTTGACCATGGAATCCTATATACACATCACAGCTCCTAAGTTTAACATTGGAAGCAGGCGAAACAGAACTTTTTGCAAAGGAAATTCGAGGGACAGGGAATGAAAATGAAACACGAGGAGCATTGTCTGGACCTGGTACTGGAACACAGGTCACAATTTTGAGTTTTGTGTTATCGGGATCACTAGAAAAATCATACCTTTCTGGAGGTGGAGTGTAGGAAGTGCTAGGGATGTCGTCAGACTGAGAGCCACTGTATGATGACAGTGGGGGAGAAGGGTGGGCGAGTGTAGCAGCGGGAGTGGGATCTTCTGTGGGTGAATTATGAAACAAGGTAGCCCTTGGAGAAATGTAAGGTGATTGCAAGGCTGAGACAAACGCTGAGGATGATGGAGATACGAGTGAAGGTGAGTTATATGGAGATGATGAGAATGAATTTGCTAGTAAGCACTGTGATAGTGAGTCTTGAGTTGAAGAAACAATGTTACTTAGAATACCATTACTTGTTTTCTTGCTGGAATTCGCTATCTTGATGGTCAAGGATTTGGTATCAAGTGGTGGAATCTCTTTTGGAGGTTGTACAAACATTTTGGATTCCTCATCCATATCTCACTAAAGAATGAAGAAGCAGAAGGAGAAATGTCCAGTCTCAACAGATATCAGTATTTTAACAAAACCCGTTAAAAGTCCAACACTGGTGGGATAATCGGACATGTGATTCAGTGGCGTTCACAAGAACTGTTTCGACTAGAATGGAATCAGAAAAAACTGAACTCATGTGGGATTCTTGCTCATTATTAACATTGACAGGTGCAATTGAATGTGTGGCTGCAACTGAGCGGTAACTGAGAGAGTCTTCAGAAGATGAATGCAGCAGGAGAACTGCCGAACAGAGAAGAAAAAAAAAATCTAAATGTGAATTAATGTATCATATATCATCTTCTTCCATTGCGGGCCTACCAAGTCAGAACCATGCCATACTTTTTTACTGTGCATAAATGGATCAGACCAGTTGATGTTCTAGAGCAGGAAAAAATTGAAAAATAAAAACTTGCAGCAAGGAAACTACGCTGGAAACCAAGAACGCCGCTTTCTAACATTCATCATCCTAAGAGAAGGATAAGTACTGCCGAGAAATGGATATTTAGCTTGGAAAAATAATTCACTTTACCTGGGCTTTTGTTTCATCTGGAGCAAAGAAGAAAAGAGAGACTAGACCTGCCTTTGCTCAAACCCCAGCAACTCTCTCTCGCTCTCTCTCTCTGTAATACGAATGGTGCAGATGGGAATAAGGGAATCTGATGTATGGGCTGGATCTGTGAGGTTTTGAACATAAAATAATGTTCTGGTGCTTAAAAAGAAGCTGCAGAGAGTAAATGGTGTAATGTACAATGAACTTAGTTTAATCGGTTTGTCTCGGGTTTTGGCTATCTCTTTTTGTTTTTTTGTGTCGTAAGCTTACTCGTTTAAATTCTAAAACAGTTACATTAACATAAAAAAATCTCTCGTTTATTACAGAGGCCACAGATGGTCAGGATGAACCCAGATAAAAAGGGCATTGGAAAGGGTACCATAGATACATACAGACCACCTACATTTGCTGTTAATGGTGCGCCAGTTCAAATTAATTCTGGAAAAGAAAACAAAATGCTTTATGTATAACAAAAAATAAAATAAAATAAAATTTCAGAGCAGGTCCTCCTTCTCTATATCTGCACTACATCTGACATTGTTATTTGTGAGTATTTTTGCTATGGGAATTGGACCAAGACCAGTCCAACTGAGGACTGAGCCATTTTGGAATTGACTTCATGGGCACAGGGGAAAAATGGGAACTGGGAACCAGGAAGGCTCCACCTCCACCCTTCCCTGACACCGCTCCACATGTATCTGTTTCTCTTACCAGACTTGCTAGTATGGTAGCAGGATATGGCAAAGGGGCATATGCCTACATGGAAGTGCAGACCAGCACCTCCAAAATCTTTTGATTCCAGTTATCTTAGCATGTTTTCGCGATGCCATTTTAAGTCTAAAAATGGACGTATACAACCATCGTTTGTTAATCTCATGAATAGGAGTTGGTGTCTCCAGCAGGGCATGGGGGGATGGGACAAGCATCTGAATCATTACATTCTTCATTCTTCTCTTCTTCCTGGTTTAACAAGTGAACATGAAACTACAGTCTACAGTATGGAGTGGACTAAGTACTGGCAAATTAGAGAACTACCCTATCCTAGAATTTTATAAATTAAAGGAGTTCAACATGTTCCATAGAAAGAAAAATTTCTTATTGGATTTTAAGCTGGAAAAGCTGTGCGTTGCTGACTGGGAACTCAAACAAGCTTTGACCCTATAAAGACTATAGCAAGTCTTTTTTTTTATTAACCCTAAATCTTCCCAAAGCTTTCTCTTCTTTTCTTATCCCTCAATCTTCTTAATTTCTTCAATTCCCAAATTTGGCCTCAAGGGTCCGTTGCTTAATTACTTTGTGTTACATGAGAAGACGAATGAGCGATGACTGGTTCTTGCATGCGGCATCCTGCACATGGGTGGAAACAATAATATAGATAGACTTGCAAATTCTTTATTTATTTTTTACCAAGCAAATTCTTTATTTATTAATTTTGAAATTTATGAGTAATTATTGACACTAGAATGAAACTTTTAGGTGTTTCCGTACGTGTCAGCCTAATCTGTTTGTGCTGTCTCGGCCTACATGCTCTGATTAAGTGCTGGCAGAGAGCCTTCATCCATCAATTATTTATTGCTGTTAAAAAAAAGAAAAAAAGAAAAGGAACATCATGAGCAACTTTTGTTGATTGAATTCTAAATCTGATATTCTTTGTGTTATGTGTCGGGGGTTAAAAAAGGCAAACCAATATATATATGTGCAAGTGGTTGGTTTGGAGGAATTAGAGTGTAAGTAAGAGATTTTGGATTCAAAAACTTTCACTGACATTAAAAAAAAAACCCAAATGGTTGGGATGAATTTTGTTAAGGTTCATTTTACAAGCCGAATTTGAATCATATATCCACTCTTCTAAGTCTTATATACATGAAAACCTATTAGGTAAAAATTTGATTTGCTTCATGAGTAACTAATAAGTACCTGAAAGGGGAAAATGCAAAGTGGGACAAGTGGAGGGCTAGAGATCATACAAAGATAACACATGTTTTTTCTATCATACAAATATATCTCGATTAGCCTAATGGCGTATGAAATAATTGCCAACCCCTAAATTGAGTCCGGTCAATATAATAAAAGGCTAATGAAATTAAAAACTTTTTTCTTGCTTTTGGTTCGTCTTAGCCAAGAATGCGCTGTTGTTTGAGTTATATTTTATAAGATCACATATGATATTTTTACTTTTTTTTTTACCAAGGGTGATGTATTTCTTATTGGTCATTCATATGTCTCCATGCATTATTCTTGACTGTATCATCATGGAAGTATTAAAATCACTTTTTGCAATGTCACGTATCGCATTAAAAAAGATACAATGCACATCCATCATATGGCATGGATCTGACATATTTATTTATGTATTGGCCAATCATAACCTTTAAGAACAATTGTTAATCCATCGAAACGGAGCCAATAATGTGAACATTGGACTAGGGGCATGGACAATTATAGGCTGATTGTTTGAAATAATAATGTATTAACAAGGTATGAATTCAAAATGTAAAGTCTAGAGAGTGTCAATAATTTTAATAAACATATATATATATATATATGTATATATAGAGTTAAATAAACAGTAACCCAATATATCATTTGAAGAGAAAAATATAGTTTTGGCACCCAAACTTTGATGGATAAGCAGTTTTAATCTCCAAATTTTAGACGGAACATCATGTGTCAAATTTTGGGTATCAAAATTACATTTTTTTCATCATTTGAATTACAAAATCATACAAACAGCTTCTGTTGAAACGATCGGTATTGCACCAACTGTTGTTACTCCCCCTTCCCCCATCGATCCAATAACTTCTCGGCTAGCTGGCCGGCCGGCCAATGGAAACAAAGAGAGTGTTTGGATTGTAAATTATTTGAGATATTTTTATTGTAACGCTTTTTGTGATGTAATATATGTGAGATAAAAAGATAATTGAAAAGATAAGAAAGTGTATTAAAAATTGTAATGATGATGTAAGCAGATAAATTTCGACACATAACCTCATGTCCAACCACACTTATGACACTCCGGCACCGGCGTCGGCATGGTTACACATTTTGCATTCGGCATCGCAGAAGAATCCACAGATCACTAACTAAGCAGTGGGACTGGGACTCTCCATCACAGTCACATCCCACACCTTACCACTTGTGGGCCACCACTCCTCCATGTGGCCCCTCCGTAACATCCCCACGTTCCCATTTTCTAACCCCAGTCCCTTTCTTGTTCTTACTATTCAAAGAAGTACTAATCCATCAAAGGAAAAAGAAAAAAAAAAGAAAAAGAAAAAAACATACCAGGCACCTATAGCTAAAAGGCTACGACAAATTCGACAATAAACCTGAAAATATAAAAATAAATATTCCCAAATCCTCACGACGTCTAGGGTTTCCACTTCCACGTCTTCCTTCGATTCTGTCATCAGACTCAATTTGAATGGAGCCAAAAAAGGTACGCTTATTTCACCCAGCATAAATTCGCGTTACTTTCCTCAGATTCAAGTCAATTGGGTTTTCGATTTTCCAATTTCCTTTTCTGTCCTTTTCCACCACCCTTCCCCCCCCCCCTCCTCTTGGAAGATTATACTATTCAATCAATAATTGAATCCCTTAATCCCCGATATTGGAGTTTACTTGATATTATCAAGAATATTCGGTCTCCAGAGCTGGAATGATGGTAGCTTTTTGTTCTCGATCTTGATCTGAATTTTGGGCCCTCAGTCAGTGATACGGTGTTGCGAGAAAATCTGCCCTAATTGGAAACTAGTTCTTGATACTGATGGATTTGGAGAGTGAAAATTCAGCTCTCGAATCTGTGGAAGATAATGAAAAATTGGTTAATTCTGATGCCCTCAAGCTTCGAAGCAATGGGAATGGTGTTTTTGATGACAACGATAATGGAAATGAAGTTGCGGAGGTTTCTGTAAAATCGCCACCTGGGGTGATTGCGAAATCATCTGCATCTTTGCCCTCCCCCTCCCTTTCCCCTTCTCCCTCGCCTTCTCCTGGGGGGACGAAAGGTTATGGGTTGAAGAAATGGAGAAGGATCAAGAGGGATGTGATTAAGGATGGGCTTAGTAATTTGGATGGTAGTAAGTTGTTGAAACGGGGTTTGCCCAATTCGGCTGCTAATCCCAACAGAGCAACGCAATCTTCTGGTGGTGGGTTGAAGCAATATAGCGAAGGTTCTGTTTCGTCCACTAATGCAACGGCGAGAAGTCCAGGGAACGTGGTTGATCTTTTTGCTGCAATTGGTGATTCAGGGATTGGAAATGTCTTAGGTGCTGGGACAGCGGAATCTGAAAATAGTGAAGATCGGAGTAGCAAGTCTTCTACAGCTGCTAGTGCTCCAATTCCAAAGATGATGTATGAGATGCCCGCGGGGAAGGGATTTGCTAGTCACATCAACAGGATGAGGAATTTGAGTGGGAAGAATTTGGGTAACTCAGGTCAGCGAGTTCAGGCGGGAAAGGTTCGGACTGAAACCAGTAAGAAACTTAGAGGAGATGTGGTCAAAATCGAGAAAACAAACTCTCATTCCAGCATGGAATCTGATTCGCGAAGCTCCAACTTTGTCTTTATGCAGGGTATCAATTTCGCAACCAGTAATGGGAGGCAAAGTGGAAGATCAAGGAATAATGATGGAGAAAATAGTGATGAAGCTCAGGGTTGCGAGCGGCAACCAAGTGAGGAACTTCCAGGTGATTCCAGCCGGAAAAATGGTGGAGAGTTCCATGATAATTTTCAGGAAGATTTTGCTGCTGATTCTTCTTGGGGGATTAAGGAAGAGAGGAGTGATAATAATGGACCCCTAAGTGATCAAGATTCTCTCTTTGAGTCTATTCTTACTCTCCAGTCAGCAGAGGAAGCACTGGAAAAAGGTGAACCCACCTTTCTGCTTTGCTTGATTTGACTTTCTTTGCACCTTTTTCTTTCTCATTAGCAATTAAACCTTCTGTTTTGTGAGCGTAGGATATATTTGGTAAGTCTTTTTGTTAATTATTATATATATAAGCTAATGAAGAATAATAACTCTGCAAGAGCTTTGCCTACTTTATCTTAAAAAAAAAAAAGACTTTTTTTCTTAAGTGAAGAATGAAAAGATGTGGATGGTGTGTCTTCATCTATTATCTTCTCGAGTGTAGTAAGATTATGATGATTCTAAAGTTCATGCGGACTTTGTTGTTTTCTGATAATGATTCACTCAAGAAGCTGAGTAGTTTTAGCAAATGTCTCGAAATATGTGGGCATCTTGTTATACATAGTTTGTTATCGATCACATAACTTGATCAAAGAACTAGGTGCACCAGCTTTAGTGAGTGCATTGAAGAAGTTCTTATTTGAAATTTGCTATTTACGTGGAAAGACAATAAGCTTTGGGTCTTTAGTTGGAAACATTTTATACTTGGTTTTGATCGTTTTGGAAAAATACTTGTAAAAGAAGCTTCTTTTTATGTGTTGGGTACTTGCTCTCAAGAATTTTAGTGTTGCTTCTATGATGAGTTAAAACATGCATTGCCGTGCATGGCTAGATTTCTTTGAAGTGGTAAAAGCCCTTGTTATAATTGATCCTTCTAGTTTACCTTCCAAAATAGTAGCTACTGTGTATTGTTTCCACAGCATCTGCCAAGACACTTTCTGCAGCAAATCAATCAGTAGGCTGACAAGTTTAGCCTAATTTGTAAGTGCAACTGCATATACACCTATATGCAGAAATCATATACCTGAGTGTTGTAATCTCCCTTTCTAGACCTGTCAGATTGTGGTTTGCTTGTTAGTAATTGATGAATATTGGATGATGAAGTTGATGACCTCAAAAATAGTATATATCTTAGTTTCAAAATATACTTTTAGATCTATCCCCACACAACTAAGGTGATAGGTACTGGTATGCCTGCTAAAGATATTTACACACATCAAAGGTCTGTAGTTCATATGTTTGGTAATCCCTTGCCATTATTTGTGAGCTTTCTTTTCTTCGTGATGATTTGCCTTTGCCTGTTTCATGCTGAATGTGGTGTGCTCATGTTGTTGCAGCATGGATCTATTGGCTGGAAGCCAGCTGATATAAATGAAGTTTCTATTGTTTATTTTCATTACTTCTGGGTAGGTAAACTCAAGATTGATGAATATTGGCATTTCTTTCTTTTAACAAATGAATTTTTGCACTCATGCAGAAATTCAGAAGTTGAGGGAAATTGGAAAGGAAGAAAGCACCCTTGATGATTTGGTTAAGGATGCCTCCACTGAACAGTTGCAATTTGGTGATTTTGGTGAAAATTTTTTAGATTCCTCAGAATCTGAGGTGCTTAGTTTAAAGCAGAGATTGGATTTAATGGAAACCAAGCTTGATGGTGCAACAGCTTTGCTGAAGGTGAAGGAAGCTAAAATTGTTGAACTACAAGAATCCATCTTAGGTGGTAGGTCACCAAAGGTAGGAACTGGGTGTGCATTGGAGTTGCATCAGGAGAGTTACAGAGACATAAATATTGAACTTGAAGGCCTTTTTAAGCAAAAGATTGAAGCTGAAGTTGAGTATTTGGTAATATCAAGAACAGTGCAAAACCTGCGAGTTGCAGTAGTGGATCAAATTACCACTCTTCAAGAACAGAGGAAAGATCAGGCACGGGTGCTGAACAGGCTTGGAGATGCTGAGGTTAAGGCTGCAATGCTTAAGGGAGAAGCCGTGAAACTGGAGAATTACTGTGAAGATATTATGGCTGCTGATGAGACTATCAAACTTAAAATGAGTATATGCAAGTATGCGTCATGTTTCTTTATACAGTTGATGTTGCTTCTTATCATCCTTATGTTCCTGATCTTGCAGTTTTCGCCAAGTCATTCTGAGGTTGTACCTACGTAAGCAAGTTTGTTGCTTTTATTTTTTGTTTATTTGGCCCCCCTGGCCTTTTGTAATATTCAACTTTGTTATTAGTAATTTTAGAATTTAAAGAATAGATCAAACACCTAGGTGTAGTTGCTTGGTTGACTGATGTTACTTTCATTTAATGAGGAAATTTTCAAGTTCATTTGGTTTGATTTATTCCTGCAGCAAAATGCATTGACATGCTGCATTTCTGTGCACACTGATACTAGTTACAATGAAGCTCTAAGTTTGCTTATTTTCTTCTTTTATCATCATTGTTATTGGGAGTTTGTTAAATAGTTTATAGAATTCGTTCCCTTGAAAATTGGCTGATCCTGTGCTCCTGATACGCCCATGGAATGATTTTAAAAAATGATTCAAGAAGCAGAACAGAAATCCTTTGACCTTTAAAGGTATTATTGTTAATGATGAGGTGGTTGAGGAAGAGTATGTCATCATCAGTCTTAAATGTAGCATGTCTTTCCTGCATTTCTTCCAGGTGAGACTAGTGGTTAAACCGTTTTAAGTTTCTGTCTGTTGCAACGCAAGATATCATTGATTTGCATATTGGTTTTCCTAAATCGCTGCTAAATAGTTTTGATGCAACTTTGATAGCGGAGCAACAGAGTGGCTATCATGGTAATTCACTTGCCTGGTGTAGCAATCTATTTGGTAACCAATTTATAAGCAAAGCATCAGCGCTACTCTAGGGTTGGTCCAGGTCTTTGTTATTAGCAGATTTTTCTTCTTGGTTTTTATCGTCTTTCTAGGCAGATTTGTTTTACATTTTGACTCAAGTGAAAATCAAGAGCTGCGATAGCACTTTAATGTCTCTGACTGATGTATGGGAGAAATTTCATTGCTTCTTAGCCATCGCTAATGACTGTGGTGAAACCAACTGCTTATTAATCATGAGGAGTATCACATTCATGTTCACTTGTGCTGTGTTCGGTTTCGTGATGGTGATTCTCGTCAACTTCTGAGCATGAAAAGTCAGCAATGGGTTTCATTGCTTGCAGGACTAGGATTTTGTTTAACTATTTGAGTTTTGATCCAATGGTAAGGAAGAGCCTCTTGGAGCTCTATGTGCTAAGTTACGGGTTCAAACTCCATTTAGTGCAAAAAATCGAAAGAGTGCAGTGGTATATTTGTTCGGTTTAGAGGTTTACCTCTCTGTTTTCATACAAGTCCAATTGGGCTCCTCCTCCTCCTCCATAATGTAAGGTTAGTATACATTAATTTGTTGCCCTTAGATCCTTTGGAAAAGAAAACCCCAAGAACAGAGAGAGGGGGAGAGGGAGAGGCTCCTTTTAGGATTTTGCTTAGATTAAGCTTTTCACCATTACGTGTAATTGCCAACCTTAATGGTGAATTATTACCTTATCCCGAAAATGCCATGCGTGGCAATTAAGCAAAGACATTTTATTATATTCAATGCGTTATAAACATGTGGTATAAATTCATTAAGAGAAACAGCTGTTCAGCTGCCTTGTGGCTTTCCTTTGTGCAATCGTTGAAGGAGAATGTGAAAAGGCTAAATGATTCACCAACTCTTTGAACTCTTCTCAAATTTCTTGCGAAATTGCAGAACTTTTCTATGGTCGCCATGAACGACTACTTCTTCAAGATAGTTAGGATGTATTTTGACCCTTTTTTTTTTCCTTCTCTTTCTGTGAGGATGGCTTATAATCTTGTTTCCTTAATTATAATTATGTAACTATTATACTAGAGTCTTCAAAAGCGTGATCCTGGAGAACTTTTCAGCTGATTATCCACTAGGGACTTAAAAAAAAGGCCCCCCCCAAATATCGAGCGATGGAACCTTCTAATTTAAACCCCTTTCGTAATTGGATTCCAAGGAATTAATTATGCTTTTAATATAGCCATAAACATGAGAAATAAATGTTATACGTTTCAAATCTTGAAACATAAATTGCTTAGCTGTCCGTATTTCCAGAAGTGAAAAAGTTGGGCAATCCGATGGTCATCAATGACATTATTGTATGTGAATACATCCCGCAATTATGTGGAAGCTGCTGTAGATAGAAACAACGACCAATTCGTGAGATAATTACTGGGAATTCATTTGGGACTTGTTTTCAAAGAAATAAGATTATTACCCAAAAAAAAAGAAAAAAGATAAGAAGAACAAAGAAGAAAGAAAAAGAAGCATAAGAGAAATGGACAGAGGCATCATTTACGTTTGATTTTACTTTGCAGAGATTTGGTTTTTAGCATGTAGGAGCTGGCATGCATGGCATGACAACTAGTGGTAGGAGGCGCAGACCAAAAAGAGAAACGTGATGGGTATAAACCTGCGGGGTAAGGAGTGGCCACCAAGTTCATTTTGTGAGTACCAATTACCGCAAAAATATATTATTATTATACTAGTAACTGTTTTGGCAGGTGAAAATTATAAGTATCTAGATACGAAGCCATTATAGTATACACATATCCTTGACAGTTAGTGTAGTATATATACATGTATTTTTTGACAGTGCATGCATTAACAGGTTTAAATGTATGTCACATGTTTAAAATTCATATTTATCTATACAAAATGTGATTCAATTCAAAGTATAAAGCCCTATTTGTATTTTTTGACAGTGCATGCATTAACAGGTTTAAATGTATGTCACATGTTTAAAATTCATATTTATCTATACAAAATGTGACTCAATTCAAAGTATAAAACCCTATTCGTATTTTTTGACAGTGCATGCATTAACAGGTTTAAATGTATGTCACATGTTTAAAATTCATATTTATCTATACAAAATGTGACTCAATTCAAAGTATAAAGCCCTATTTGGATAAGATTCTATTGATTGTAATTGACACAAGAATTTCAAATTTAAGGTGAGGTCGGGGGTTCGCAGAGCATGCATTTTTTGAATGATCTCAGCAGCCAAAAAAAAGAAAAAAAGGTCTAAGTAGCATTCCTATCCACGTCGTGTTTGGATTTTGGAAACAGGAATAGGAATGGGAATAGGAGGAAGGGACAGTGGAAATTGGAATAGCAAGTCAAAAAGGAGAAAAAAAAAAAAAAAAAAAAAAGGGGTGGCCCCATGCAAAAGGGTTGCTTTCATCCCGTCACGAGAATGTGCCAATAAAACAGGTGGGCTTTCCTTTCACTCACCACTCAGCAGCAACTTAATACTATAATATGTCTGCATAATTTCTTCTGTTTCAAACCAATCTCTGCAAAAACTCACAAACCTACAAAACTCAACTTCTGAATATTTGTCAACGGAAATTATATACACCCAAGGAGAAAGAAAATGAAAAAACACGGGAGTAATACATAATGAATAGCGTATAAGGGTATATTTATATCTTGACCAGCTCGGTCTTTGAACATAGTCCTACTCCAACCAAAGGAAAAAGAAAAAAAAAAATATATATATATATCCTTGCATTGACTTGGTCATTAGTCAAGGCACAAGCGGAGGAAAGACTGTTGTTGAATTGGACACAAAACTGAAAACCAAACATTTACGTGTTTGTTTATCCTTGCATCTCATGCCCCTAATACATTTTATATCTACCCTTTAGAGAATGCGCCATCTTTTTCATGTCGTCCACTCGAAAGAAAATAAAAGAACTAGAATAGCTTGGACATTTCTAAAGCTTGTGAATTCTTACCATTTCTTCCAATTCCGTGTAGCATAAAAAAGACTAATGTGCTTTCTCCCTTGCCCAAGCACAAAAACAAGCCCCGAACATCAAAAGTTTTTCGTGGAATACACTCTTGAGGCTTCCTGAACTCTTCACAGGTTGCTCCTCCTTGGATGGACAACTAAAAATAGAATCGTCATAATAAAGGTCTATATCTCTTCTTTTTTTTTTTTTGTTGGAGTGGGGATAAAGTTGATGCTTGCAAGGAAAGTTTTGAGAAAGAGAGGTTAATTTGTATATTTACTACTTGGTCGAGTTTCTTGACTTTCGACCACATTTGTATCTTAGCAGATGACGAGAGGCTCTGCGCTGGGCCTCCATCATCATCTTAAATTAGAAATGAGTACATAATATGCAATAAATAATTGAACAATGACTGCTGATCAGATACGCTAAAAAGTAAATACGAATATGAACAACAACAACAACAACAATGCTTTCTGTAGTCAGAAATTGGACCAGCAATGCAATAACATCCAGATTAAATAAATGGTATGCAAAACGGCTAAAAACTTAAAGCACCCAGTTAATCGAAACTATGAGATTTAATGGAAAAGGCTTCACAGTTGAAAAGTAAGCAGCCCCTAGCACCATCATACCAATTACCAAGAAAACAGAAAGGAAAACCTTTTCGCTTTCTTTCCTTCTTGGCGAGCTAGCTTAGTTGGACTATTCTGCTTTCTCAAGGTGCAGAAAGACACTAAAGACGAAAGTCTCCAAGACTGAAGACCCCATCACAGAAAACAAGAAACAACCAAAATGGTCACTACCACAATAGTCCCGCCTGCGTTATCGGAAGAAATAAATCTAGATCAATCAAACATAACCCAACTATACCGCCAACTACCAAATTATGCAGCACTGACCTCTCAGTTGCCAAAGTCCCCAGGTCCCGACCTTGTTATGTCCTACAACCTTAGGCACACAAGCCCTGAAATTCGACCGAGTTAAAAGACGAAGAGGCACAGCCATATCCGGCAGCATGATCACACTCAACACCAGCATCTTCCTCCAATGGGGGCACCTCATTGAGGTCAAATTCCATTACTCTACGATCGGTGCCGCTTACTTCACCAGCTGAAGTAACCTGGCTTGATGGACCTTCCATTTGACCCGCAGCTGGCCAGTGACATCTTTTGTGACCTCCAAGGGCCTGACCTGTGAGAAATTTCTTGTTGCCAATCCTGCATTCATGTGAGCTAGCTGCCCCTTCATCACTTTCTTTGCTTTCATCCACCCCTGGGTTTGGGGTATAATTGCCAAGAGTTCCATATTCATCAGTTGCAGCTGCAAATGTGGACTCACCATAGGAATTTTGGATGACCATCCTGAATTTGTTATGGCTGGACCTGTGTCCTCCCAAAGCCTGGTGAGTGGGGAAGCACTTGTCACAAGTGGTGCACCTGTATTTCTCAAGAGATGTTGTCAATGTCAAAACCGGGTTAAACTGATCAAGATCCCTCAGCTTCATCCTTTTCCTCTTCTTCCTGCTCTTGACAGCAATCACGTTCCCATTACTTCTCTCATCATTTTTGCGATCGATCAACAGCCGGTCGTCTAAGGTGTTCTCGCTGTCCGAGCAATCCTTGTCTGCGTAATAGTCCTTAGGCTCCTTAGGCCAAGTATTTTCCTCCTCCCACTGACAGTCTAAATTAGCTAACTTTCCAGCAAAAAGGTCAGTTTCTTTCACAGCTTCAGCACTGTTCTCGCCCATATTAATCATATAATCCAAATGAATGCCATCAAGTTTCCTACCTTCATTTCTGAGCTCTTTCACGGGATGATCAGCTGAAGACTCTTTTTTTCTTTTCTTCTTCGACCCCGGAGCACTCTTGGTCATGAGGTCCTCGTCATTTTCAGACTTGTAGGCAAGGGAATTGCTATTAGTTGCCTCAAATTCCTCAAATTTATGCCTATTCTTGACTTGCAGCTTAACATCAGATGAAGAATCCCCCCCTTGGGCTAAACTCATAAGATGATAAACAGCATCACGCATCCCCTCATCTTCTTCAATATTCTCCACAATGGCCTTACGGCCCCTCTTGGCAGTTACCGACCAACCACCCAACGTCTTGGTTAAATCAACCGTTTGATCGCCGTCACCATCAGCTGAATCCACCTGATGGTGTTGATAATCATCATCATCTACATCAGTCTTTTGAGGCTCAGCGTCCGAAACGGAAGACGATGGGCTTGGCTTGACGGCGGCCCAAGATGGCGGTTGAATCCCTCTCCATTCCCTATCGGGATGACATCTCATGTGCCCAAACAATGACTTCATCGAAGGAAAATTCTTACCACAGATAGAACAAGTGGGATTAGTATTGTTCTTGTTGAAACCGGCGACAGCACTATCATGATCACTGGAAGATGACTTGATTTTCCAAAGATCCTTGTTCTTGGCAAAATCTGCTGCTGCAGCTGCTGCGTACGCTTGTCGTTTCCTTTTCTTCTTCAGCTTGATTAAAGGTTCCTGCTGGCTGCATTTGATCAACTTTTTCCTAAAAATCACGTCTTTGTTGGTTTGGAAGTGAATCCTCATGTGACCACCCAATGCTTTACCTGATCCAAACACCTTGCTACACACCTGACAAATTCTAGTATTACTATTGCTCTTGGTCTTGCTTTGTGGGGGCCGCTCCGGCTGATCCTTTTCAAAATCTTCTTCTTCTTCTTCATCACCGTCTTCGTCGGAAGAAGGATTGATCTTGAGCTTTATCCAAAGCTCCCCATGATCTCCAAGAACACTGGATTTGTGATCAGGATGCTCTTTCTTGATTGACTCTGATATTTGATCCTCTTTGTCATCCACCGTCGACATTTGATAACAACACCAGAACAACTCGGCCTAAGCTGAGTGTAGAGATGTAAAAGATGAAATCTTTTTAGGAAAGAGTGCGAGTAGTTGCAAGATAGTGACGGCTGAGATTATGAATTTGTGCAAATTAGAGATATATGGTCATGTAGATGTAGATAGGTAGGTATCTGTGAACCCAAAAACCCCATGAAAAGGATCCATATATCCGGAGAAAGGGGAAGGGGAGGGGGCAAAAAAAAAAAGGGAAGGAACAAGAGAGAGAGAGAGAAAAATATCAGCTTTGCTAGACAGGAATACTTGGGTGGAGGCTAACCCTAAAGTAGAGCCCGGAAAAGAGAGATCAAAAAATGGAATGTTGCTGAGCTGAAAAGATAACAACAAGAGGAATAAGAGGAGGCGAAGTCCGGCTTGAGGAGGAAAATACTCAAAATCCCAGCTCCAAGAGCAGATCTTTTACATCTGCTGCTACCCTAACCCATGTGAGTATTCCCGTGTGAGTATTCTTTGAAAGAACATGCAAATATATGCTTATTGATTAAGCGCTTGATGGAATAGGAAGAGAGAATAAAGAAGAGGTTTAGACGTTAAATGGAGATAAGAGAGATAGAGGAGGAGGAGGACGCGGAGGGGGACGACAGCTGAAGCGAGGAGAAGATGGGAGAGGAGGACCAAGGAAGAGAAAGGAAAAGGAAGAGTCTTTTTGATAACTTATGAGAGAAACAAAAGAAAGTACTACTAAGCAATATTGGCCTATTTGGAGTGGAGAGTCTGGAGTAGTAGCAGCAGTCATATGAATGAATTCAATGCATTTCAATTGTGGCATTGTGGGAATTTGACTGTCACGTTTCGGTTTCTTCCCCACTTGCCTCTTATTCGGGTTTTTTCAGAATCCTCCCATCATCTTCTCTCTCCCATACTTTCATGCACATTGACTCCCAAAAGGAAAATATTCAAGTAGATCCTAAGTATATACCAATTTTTTTGTCTATTGTATTGTCAAAAAAAAAAAAAATCTAAGTGAAAAAAAAAGTTCAAAAATTGAACTGAAGTAGTCCCAGATTATATATATATATATAAAAACTACATCAACAGAAAGTCACTCTAAATCACAAGCAAAAAAAAAAAAAAAAAAAAAAAGTCTAAAAATCGAACTAAAGTAGTCCCAATTTACAGAAGAGTTTTGTTGGTTGGTGTGATTAAATTGTAGAAGCGTATGGTATGATCTACAAAGTCAAGTGTATCTTAATATTCTCTTTTCTCCCAAATTATATTACAAGCACTATCTCAATCCTGCATTTGAGTTGAAAGTTAAGGGAAACTAATTAAACAGGTTAACTATTCGATTTATTGGTTTTTTTCACACGTATACGAACAAGATTTCTCTGCTTTCTTTATATGATTTATTGAGTCAAGTCATTCATTTCTTAAAAAAAAAAAAGAAGTAAATAAAGCATTATCTTAGCCTATTTGATTTAATATTTATCACATAAAAAAACTACATCAACTGAAAGTCAGTCTAAATTCCAAGAAAAAAGAGTCTAAAAATCGAACCAAAATTATAGAAGAGTTTTGTTGGTGTGATTAAATTGTACAAGTATATGATATAATAGAATACGAGTGATCTGCTTAAAATCAAGTATATCGTGTGTGTGATTAAATTGTAGAAGCATGATATAGAATATGATCTGCTTAAAGTCAAGTATATCTTAATGTTCTCTTTTCTACCAAATTATATCTCAATCCTATATTTGAGCTGGAATTGAAAGTGGAAGGGAAACTAATTAAACAGGTTAACTATTCAATTTATTGGTTTTTTTTTTTTTTTTTACATTACATGGCCAAGATTTCTCTACTTTCTTCGATATATGATTTATCGAGTCATCAAATCATTCATTTCTTAAAAAAACAATAAATAAAGCATTATCTTAGCCTATTTGGTTTAAAATTTATGACATTATTGTGTCTTAGACAAAAGATTAGCCTATTTGATTTAACAAAATAGACTGTTGATGTTTAGTATACACCGAGTCTAAGAACGAACATGGGATGGTGTAAAAGTGAGGGCATCCCCCCATTAATTCAAATCATAATGGATTATTAATTAAGATCCTTGAAATATCTCCTTTAATTAGAAAAATATTTACCATTTCTACTCGATCTTATTGATTTTTCCAACCTTCCGCAAATTTCAAAATTTTATATACACAAGTTAGTTTAAGATAAGCTTCCCTTATGGATTAATAGAAACGGTTGGTGATAATATGATCCTCATCTTTTCTTTTATCTCTTTTCAAATTCAAACTAAAGTTGTGCTCACACTCACACTCATTATTGCAATTGCAGTTTGGCATTTACTTGCAAAATTCAATAATTATGATACTTTGCCACCCTCACATTTTGGCTGGCTTGAATGATAATTAGTTTGCACCTGTCGGTGTGGCAAAGCGCAGGGTAATTTTGTCAAACAACTACGCGACCCTATTTCACAGATTAATTGCTAATTTTACAGATTAAGAACAATTATCGACTAAATGGTCACGAGTTTACTGATAAAGTTGTTTAGTGGCCAATTATTGATGAATAATAGTTTGATGGCCAAAACATGATCTGATCAATAGTTTAGTGACCGCTGAGATTTTTTACCCATTTAATAAATATAAGTGTATATTCACATGATAACATAGGTCTGTTTTAGCATTTTAGGTAAAACCTATTAAAGTAACCCCTAAACCAATACTTCATCAATATATATATATATATATATATATATATATACACACACGCACGTACACAAATGAACGATAGTTGTTTAAAATATATCCAAACGAATGAACAAAAGGGAATGTTAACCCAATAGTTAAGGATTTATTAATCCAAATTTATAGTTTAAGATGGTACATTAACGTGGTGAAAATTCTAGGCAACATATATTTAATTCATATTTTCTAATGGAAGATTTAAAACGAAATTCAGAATAGTCTAAATTGGTAAAATTTAATGTTTAAAAACTAATGATTCAATGTCCACTAATTTGTGAAATGTATCATCGCCGTATCATACATCACACATTCGCTGGATTGGAAACCCGCCTTGCTCCGAGATTAAGGCTAATTTAGTTTTGCACCCTTGAATTGTAGTCCTATGCTCACTTTATCTCTTAACCTTTAGTCTATGATAATTTACTCCCTAAAATTTTACCACTCTAGTTTATTTTGTTCTGTTAATGGGGAGTGATAAGTCAATTTCTATATTTGATTGGACAAATATAGAACAAATTTAAAAGGAGCAAAGCGTTCTCAAAACTTTAGTTCAGGAACCCAATTGAGAATTGTTGTACTGTTTAAGGGTGCAAGATAAAATGAACCCTCAAGACACCGCCGACAAACCCGCACACTGATACAAACGGCTGTGTTTGGATTGCATTTTCCGTCATTTTTCAGCCGTTTGGATTGCATTTTCCGTCATTTTTCATGGAAAAATTACTGTAGCGATTTGATATATGTGAGGGAAAAAGGTGATAGGGAAATGTGATCACGAAAAACGACAATATTTTTCGACGGAAACAAGCAATCCAAGCATGGCCTCTAGAATTTCTCATGGTGAGCTCATATTGTGCAACTGCGTCAAGCTCTCCGACAAGACAATGAAATAAACACATTTTTTTTCCACGCAGGAGAAGTGTGTCACCTGCCAAACAAGAGAATAAAAGAAGAGGGCATGGCATTATTAGTATGTGACCCAATTCTAGCCGTTCACCGGAGCTGATGCCGGAAAGGAGAGCCAGCAACGCACTGGAGAGTCACCTGTAGACCAAGTACCACTAATAACCAGCTTATAGAGTCGTGCCACAATACGGAACAAAATCATACCCTGTATTAAATCTAGCTATTAATTTCCAGCCTCAGTACATCCCCAGATCATCATGCTAAACAATTCAACACCTCCCTGGAGAACTAGAAAAGTCTACTGCACAATATCAGCAATAAGCTAACAGAAGCATTGACATCAGGTGAGTGGTTCTAATAAATGCCTACAACTTAGCCCATTACGCTTATTTTAAAGGTGTGATGCATTATATTCCTGCATCTCGCTCCGGTATCTCTCCTTATCTCTCAAACCTCTTTGCTGATATACCTGCATAAAAGCCAGGAGAAAAATTAGGTCAGAAGCTTAAAGCAGTCCCAACCTTTCCCTATATTTTCACACTAAGATATTGAGAGCAGCATATAGCTTGCTAACTAACAAACCCAGAAGCCGATAGTTATACATAGCAAAAACCTAATTAAATCCAGATACAATAGACACTCCTGGTCTAAGTTAAAATCTTTTTTGGATTTTGATTATTAACAAGTTTAACTAAGTGTACTAGGCATGAATAACCTGTTTCTCAGCCTCTGAGAGTCTTCCCCACAGAACTCCGATTCTTTTGCTAATAGCTCTTTCTTGCCCATGGTATGAAGGCTTTAGCCTGTTGTAATGCTCAGCGAAAAAGAAATTGTATCCACTCCTGTTCGGTTTGGGTCGAGAGGGATCCAGAGCCAGTTGATGTTTTCTGCGCCTTCGTCGGGTATGTCCAGACTGAGTTTTAGACCTCTGAGACATCTGTGGCACTTCAGGTATATGATAAAGGACACCCTTCAACTTTTCGGAGCCCAAATCCACAGAAATTATGTACCCATAATCACACTTAGAATCAATTGTTCCAGTCACTAAACTGCCAGCCTCCAAGTTAGCAATCTCTGTGGCACATAAATGAGAAATCTTCAACTCCATATAATTGCTTGTATACAGGACAGTGTATACAAAAAAAGGAGGAAAGAACACTAAAAACAGAAAATGGCGCAGTATAAAATACAGGTGTTTTTACAGCTAATATAACAAATCCAATCAAATCTCAATGACAGTGACTCTTATTGAAATTTATATTAAATAAACAAAAATAATAAAGAATCTGTAAAACTAAGGTTTACACAAATGCACATGCTCAAGCATTTTTTTACATCCTACATGAAGTGATAAATGTATTTTTATATTTGCACAAGAAGCCTGAATTAGCACAAACTCATGTGGAATAACTAAAAGGTAGTTCAGATATGATCAAATTCTCATATATGACAATGGATGCAGCAATTAGACCCATCAAACCAAAAAGCCAAAAGTTCACTGATTAATGCAAAATTTCTGTGTTTTCAACAGGTATTCTTCACCAATTTAAAGTAACTTGAATAATCAGCAAACAAAGTAATGCTGATCAGCTAATTGTTCTTCCAAATAGTACACCAGCGTTGCATGCAGTTGCCACATTGCTATGTTCACAGATGACAGCAATGGCAGACGAGATTACTCCTCCTAAGGAACAGACTACAAATTGTAAGTTTTTCTCTCATTCAGAGACTCCACTCATGAGTCCAGACTAAACATATCATATAGCATTACTAGTTGAAAGACAGATTACAGACATTAAAATATAAGGGAACCAAGACCTAAAAATTTGAAATTACGGAAGTACAGCTCCAAAAAGTCTAACCTGAATACTGATTAACCGTGGCAATATCTACAGAAGCTTGTGAAGCTGCTGACCCATTGACAAATCTACTTGCTGAATCTAATTAACCGAAGAAAAAGGAATGCTTAGACTGCATACCAAACTAAAGCACTAAAAAACATTTTATGGTATAAGAGTTTCCAGCACCTGCAACTGAAGTAGAAGGCTCTTCTTTCCGAAAGTAATAAACCTGCTCAAAGTGATAGAGCAAGGATAAATAGTACTTCCGCAAGACAAATGATGCACTTGTTATAGAAGATGGAAACCTGAAGGCTCCAGTAACTTCCTTCCATCTGCGATCTCTTATAACCTGTTATAGGTTGTGGATCAAAAGATACGTCTAAGCATGTAGAAAGAGATAATTTTAAAGAAAATAACTGCCAAGCAAGTTAGTTTTATACTACACTAGGTTAGGTCATAACACTTAATCATCTGTTTTAGATGACAAATTTCTACAATATTGATTCATATCCCAGCAAAATTCTTCACCAGTTTTGATTCATATCCCTATAATCTTCTTCCCCTATTCTAATCATACCATGACAATTTTTACATCAAAACATCACTTTCCAAGCAAGGAAGTTTGATCTCTGAGTGAAGCACCTTTAAATTTTTCATCTAAACATCACAAATTGATTTGAACTCAGCAACTAAGTACTTCCACAAGGATATATGCTCTTTTAGGACTCAGAATCTTCTTATATTTCTGTTGATGAATCAAAATATCAATTTCTATTCCATCAGGGATGTGTTCTTTATATTCAAGAAACAAACATACTTGAGACTAAAAAGTAGTGACATAAAACTAAAGCAAAGGCTTGGCATCATTCTTGCGCCTTAAAAGTTAATTTTCCAGAAAATAACTTTAGAAAGCAGAAAAATGGTTACCTTCTCAATGCCACCTCGAGATGTTACCTGCACAAAGAGGTGATGTAGATCCAGGGAACTGCCTCCAAGTCTAGGGACCCTGAAAGAGGTTATTAGAAGATATCAGCTTCAGACAGCCATTTTGATAATTACAAACGTTGTATGCAACTAAGTATTGGTCAGTTATTCACTTAATTTCTCTTCTATTTAAAAAAAAAGAAGAAGTGGTGGATCACAACAAACATAGAATAGCTTTCTGGAATACATCTGACAATGTCAATTGATGATTAAGGATATACAATTGCAATCCACCAGCCAATTATTCAGAAGTGACAAAATTAATTCAGGTTTCTTGCAAATACCCAAAAATCTATTTCACAATTTACGGTCAAAACAAGCAATAATTGGCTGCACAAGTCTGCGGAGGCAAACTTTCGCTCTCATATCAAATACTAGGGCAGACTACAGGAAATCAGGCTACTATGTTCTGGCCAAGAGAATATCATCATACATTAGCAGAAATTAGAAAATATCAAGGCCAAGTTAATCTTTCCCTATCCAATAGCCAATACTCTTCCCTTGTCCATTATGAGTCAAATTTGAAGTATCTCTATTTCCTGCCATTGGATTCTGTTTGCAAATAAGTAAGGGAAACCACATTCACAAAGGCATCCAAAATTGCACATTCGTGTTTAAATAGAGAAAAAGACTACACCTCAAAAGAATTCACTAGAGAATTGGAAAACACTGAGAAAAGCCATAAAAAGTCCAGCAAAGAAAAAGAACAACACATGCAGTGACAGGCTTAAATAAGTGAGGAACCAAAAATCAAAATTCAATTTTGAACCCTAAGAAACCCCAAAAACTGAGATTTTATTTTAAATTCTTTAAAAAAAAAAAAAGCACTGAAAGAGAAGAAGAAGTTTTTACTACTTACTTAAACTTGGTACCAAATAATGAGTGAAAAGATTGAAGCTTTTGCAAGAAAACATCAGGGTTCTGAACAATTTCCCCGTACTCGGCTTCTGCTTTGGGGTAAGACTTGTTGTCTCCAGTGATGTGCGAATTGAATTGCCCTTGACCTTGAGTTGCTATGGCTGCTACAGGGTTTTCAGTAGAAGGGTCGTTTGACATTTTAACTTTCTTCGATGACTGTTTATTATTACTCCTAAAAGATGTATTTGAAGGAGGGGAAATATCAAATATGGTGGGAAGATTTTGATGACTAGCGGTTACAAATAGCAGATCCTTTTTTTTTTTTTTTTGGAAGGACAAATAGCAGATTCAACAGCAGGTCAAGATCTTTTACCTTTACATCAACTACTACTACTACGCCTTTTTATTACGAGTCTCAGGAGAAGACGAAGGTCATTATTTTCTTTTTTCTTTTTTGGTTTTATCTTTTTCTTTTCTTTTTTTTTTCTCTTAATTACTCCATTAACCTCATTCTTTTATATATATTTTTTTTTATATTTTTTTGTTCTCATTTGTTATGCCTTCCTCCCGAAAAGGAAGTAGTATGCTAAAGAAAGCAAGTTTACATAACATAATTAATATTGTTTCGGGCTTTTATCTAAGGTGACTTTCATCATAAAAGAAGTTGGTCCGCTAAATGGAACATAAATAAGAAAAGTTTTTCTGGCGTAGAATTTATAATTTTGGAGACTACTCTATTGTTCTTAATTGCTTTTAATACTTTAAAATCCATATATTCTTTTTTTTTTTTTTTTGCTTTTTCTCTTTAATCTAGCGTAGAAGCTCAGAATCATTTATTCAATAAAAAAATACTTTAAAGTTTCTCCCACTTTAAGGCAAGATTCGTCGTTCCATTTTGCCAACCCCAGTTTTGTAACAACCACAATTCAGTAATTGATATATAATCAATTTTACAAGGACCGGGACGATCCATTTGTTCTTCCCTACGGAAATTGCACATATTCTTGTCTTACATTTTCTTCATTTTACGTGTACCCAAAAAATAAGTAACAGCAACAAATTCTATCCCGTTTGGCTTGAAAAAAAAAAAAGAAGAAGAAGAAGAGTTTGTGTTGCACCAACAATTGCAAGAGATCTTTTTGCTCTCTAAAATTTAGAGTGAAACTGTGTATCATTACATGAGTAAATTCCACTAAAATTAACCGATTCCAAAATTTTCTTCTCTTCCAACGGTACAAGTTTGATTAAATTAACTGTCAAGCTTATCTCAGAACTGAGACAAATTATCTCCTTCATACAAACATTTTCCTGCTAATTTAGTTTCCAGTGGATGATTATATTAGTCTAACCATGCCAAAAACAAAGAGCAAAGTTGCAGAACTGCACGATGATTAGATTCTGACAAGACGAATTTCAATTGAAGACTAGAATCCCAAAAAAAAAAAAGACAAATAAAAGTAGTTGTCTTGCCCAACTATACATAGCTATAACACAAAAGCCCAGATGAAAGATGAACCAAAATCTTAACCAAAGAACTTGGGATCATAGCCATTGCTGGAGGTAGCAAGAATGTAATAAGCCACAATATGGCCAATAGACCCCCATGCAAGAACGTCCACGATGTTGAATCCAACAGGGTCGTTGGACTTGAGCAGACTCACGTACTCCTTGGCTCTAGTATCCCCCGCTTCGAAGTGTGTTTGCCCGTTCTGCCCCGGCACCTGTTTTGCCACGTTTTCTCTCTGGAAGTTGAAGAAGACGAACCTGCCCAGAAACAAGGACAAGCCAGTGCTCAAGCTGATCACCAGAGGGGCGCTAAGCTCGGCTTTTACGCCGCCTGATGATGAGTTGAACCTCTTCTTCATGACTGGGGGGCAGAATGTGGAAGGCTTGCTGTTGAGGAACATGCCCGCGGTGTCGGTGGGCTTGTTGAGGGGTCGGAGGCCTTGGAATGTTGGGGTTGAGAACAAAGTGGAAGCCATGACTGATTCAAATCCCTAGCCTGCCTCTGGTATCGTTGAGCAAGAGTGGTTTTCCGGATAATAATAGACACCCGATTCAAATGGAAAACGATGAAGCAACTCTAGTATATAGTTGGGAAATTGGGATGATATCTGGGAACAAAGAAACTGATTTGTGAGGAGGGAAATGAGAGGAGAAAGATTTTGTATGGTGACTTGTCTCTCGTTCATTGGGTCTTTCTGGATCAGGATTTTTCGCCTTCCCTACTGCATTACAAACATGTCAAAACGAAATAAGTACCAACTTTTATTACCCAAACAAAATAAAAATACATACCAACTCATGATCATTTTCAGACGTTCGATGCCAAAAATGGAGGATGCGCGTTCGAATCACGTCCGGTTCCACTCCCTAAAACAATATATATATCTATATATATTTTTCCATCGTCTGTGAACGAACTCTAAATTCTAAAGTAGTCTAACAAGTATTTTCGTTACAACAAAATTGTTTTCTCTAATTTCAAATTCCATCCAACTCAATTTTGGGTCTAAACTCCCATAAAACCTATAATTTGATGCTACTGCCCTAAACTCCGAAATTATGAACAGTTTTCCCACTTGGATTGCTATTTTAGGGATTTTAGTAAAAAAAAAAATTATTATAACGATTTGATGTATATGAATAAAAAATATGATTGAAAAATATATTCACGACCACGAATCTAATACTACAATTTTTTTCCCCTGATAGGTGTCAAACATTTTCTGCTCCATTTTCGTCATTATGAATCTCATACACTGCTAGCGCTCAAAGTATTTTGTACCTGAAAAACCTTTCAATCGTAGATTTCATTGCGCTCCGGCAAACCACAAATCTCGTCCTTCTGTTTCGGATACGCTTTTACCACAAAGTCAAATGACACCGCTAAACATTTTACCAGGAGCAGACGGCCAAATTCTTACCACGATCACTGATGACGGGCACCCACAACAGGATTAAACATAGGATGCAGCCAGTTGGAGACATGATCCACACGATTTAACATAGGAAAAATTCCCACCAATCTGGCCATAAAGATCGTACCATAGACATGATGCTTGCTGCAATGAAGGATTGCTTGCTTTTTCATCATTTCTCAGAGACTGAAGGACGCATATATTTACAAACGGCCCCGACGTCAGCTCACAATCGAAACTCACCAGCTTGAGGCCGGACCAGTGACCATCTGGTTATGTGCAAAAAGCATCACAGGATAGACAATCACAACTACAGGATCTGCAAAGAAACAGCTACGTAGAGCACATCGTTTAGCATGAACCAACTACTCTCCCAAGAACAAATTCAATCGACTCACAACTTGACATGGAAAGGTAAACGAGACGAAAAAAAAGAAACAGGAATTGCAGCAACCAATGGATTAGGTTTCACGTTGAACCTCGTCCGTTCAAACATACATCAATTGCACCACGTAAATAAGACGGATCAAATGTTCCGAGACAGAATAACTTGGCTGAGATAAGCTAACAGTTCCACGGAAAAGAAACATGATAGACCTTCATGACACATTCCAAGCCTGACCCTAGTCCGAGAAAACCCTAGCACTACGTGCTTTCTTCTTCACACATGACACAACTAGGGTTGGTTAGCCTTCTGTACATCCCCTCCAATAGAATTTATGAGGCTGAAATGGTGCGTCACCATCAATAGTCTACTAGCACAACATAACAAATTTACACCTAGACCCACTAATACAGCAAACTAACCTAAAGGTTTACACAGTTGTGCCACATCAAGCGAAACCAAATCCAAGCTGAAGCGCATGATCGAAGAGTGCATAACCAACTCAGATTATTGTATCAAGGTATGAATAATTCCGCCGTCGCCCAAACTCCAGAAGGCTACCGTACGTCCGGTCCCAGACTCCAACAAAAAGAGACTCCGTATCAGGACTGAAAGACATCCCAGATATCTCCCCAAAGAAGTCAATTTCCTGTTCCTTTTCATACCCGCTTTTGACATCAAAAACATGGACAAAATCAGCAGGCTCTGCCATTGCCATGAATCTACCATCAGATGAATAGCGGATGGACCGAATGGCTCCAAGATTGCCCTTCAAAGCACTGACACATTTGGATAGATAACGCATGTCCCAAATACGACAAGTTTTGTCCTGGTTTCCAGTAGCGAAAGTGATGCCATCAGGATGCCATGATGATGCAAATGAGTAATCCAGATGCCCGCATAAATTTGCTACTGCCTGTAATTGTTAAATATTTAGAAATTCTTCAAAATTAGATCCAGGGGTCACAATAACAAAAGGCATGAAAACTGCACTTACCTTTCCACTTCTAGAATCCACCAATATACCTTCTGGATGGTCTCCAACAATTATAAGAAGTTTACCATCAGGGCTCAGGGATGTGTGCTGCAACAGCACACCAAGGAAAAAAAATTAGCCATAGTAGTGGACTGTGATCTAGATCACCATCACGAATTAGGCACCAGAAAACCTACACAAACATAAGCAAGACAGAGCCAAGGGAGAAGATTCCCTTGTTCAACAAAATACCCTCAACATTCCCCCCCCCCCCATCAGCATACAACGACAATTGTGATCCAAATCCAATTGAGAAAATGCCAAACCAAACCCATCCAAAGAAAACAAGCAGCAGCAAAAGGAGTGAGAGAATATGCCAAAACCATGTTCTATCCAACTATAGGCCAAATCTCAGAATTCTGGTAGTCCTGAAATTCACACACACACACACAGAGACTTCACTTACATTCACTGGCCAATCAAAACGAAAATGCTTAGACAGCTGAAACTTTTCCATATCGAAGTCCCTAACTCCACAATCATTATTTGAAGCTGTAAAATGGACTGCACCACTGGAAATCAAAAGGTAATGCTTAGGATTCATCAAAGTAGGAAGCACACAACCCAATTACCATAAGAGGTAACAAACATATACCTCGGGGTAGTATATATGTCAACAGCATTAGTGATGGCATTATCATCATAAGTTGTCCGTGAACAGAAGCTAACTCCAGGCCTGTCCAAGAACTGCATCCAAAACAAGCCAGTACACTATCAATGGCAATGTCAAGCAGCAATTCAACCAAAGGGAGCCGCAAAGCACAGCACAAGAAGCAAGTTGAGGGCTACTGATCACCCACTCAAACCAAGTTTTTGTATATTTTGAACAGTGCCCAAGCTCTCTCACTAGTCCACACCTTTTAGCAAGAAAGATATCACCTATTTGCTAGACAAAGATAATGAAAAGTTGAGACCAACCAGAGAAGCTCTCCACCACAAAATGTTTTGCACCTTACACACCCAACCCATGAATGTCAGAAATAATCCCCTAATCTGATTCCCTACCAGTTGGTTTTTTCCAAGTAGAA